ACAGCTCCCCACAAGTGTGATTAATAACATTTTGGAGGCTAGAGCCCCATCTACAAGAAGCCTCTACGCCCTTAAATGGTCAGTCTTTTCTGACTGGTGCAGCACGGAGCGAGGACCCGTCCTCTTGTGACGTATCATCCATGCTAACCTTTTTGCAGGATCTGCTGGACAATGGGCGCACCCCTTCCACACTCAAATATATGTGGCAGCCAGTCAGACTCTGCAAAAATGACCTTGTCATTAAGTTCCTGAGGGGAGCTCGTATATTAAATCTGCCTTGTTCTTATACCACATGGGACTTATCTGTAGTCCTCCTTTTGAGCCACTCCAGTCGGCAGACTTATGACCCCTGTTGCTTAAGACCACCCTTCCTCTAGCCTTATGGTCAAGCGAGTGGGTGATTTACAAGCACTGTCAGTCAGTGCTTCATGCCTTAAGTTTGGGCCTAACGACTGTAGAGTCATCCTCAAACCAAGACACGACATTACCCTTAAAATTTTGAAAGGATGGACTGTGCCATACTACTGTAATGAAATGCCCAAGTCAATTTAATATTGGTTTTTAGGTTTCTTTTAGGACTAATTCATCTTATTTTTTTGTATATTTATTTATTTATATGTATGGTTTTTATGAGTGTGAATGTGGATGGATATAGTTGCATTTCCACGAGAGATACAAAATTTTGTTGTTTGCTACATGCAATGACAGTAAAGGTATTCAGTTCAATTCAATTTAATTAAATTCACCCTTCTGGCTCTTCCTAACCCAGAGGATGAGTGGGGTCCAAATTCACTCCGTCCGATTTGGGTTCCTAGAGTGTATGTAGAGCACTCTAACCAGTTACAGCATTCAGAGCAGCTCTTTGTTTGCTTCAGAGGCTGCTCTAAAGGGCTGCCAGTCACAAAGCAGAGACAGATCTTGCTGGATAGTTGACGCTATAGCCCTGGCAATGCCTCAGTTGGCTTACAGTGTTTTATTGGAGCAAGGGCCCACTCCACCAGAGTAATGGCCTCCTCCTGGGCTTGGTCCAGCGGAGTTCTTATTGGTGATATGTGCAGCTGCTGGCTGGTCTCCGCCATCTATTTTGCCCAGGTTTTATAACTTGGCTGTACCTGCCCTTCAGGCACAGGTTTTGTCTGCCTAATCCCAGCCTGTGGCTAAGGTCTCATAATTGGTTCATGCTTTTTACGAACCCTCATTTTGGGTGCTCTAGGCTGGGCTCGAAGAGCGGCTTTGTTCTGCTCTTGCTTATAGCACATCGCTATTGTACATGTTCCCTATAAGCATACAACGCAATGGGAAAGACCATACGAAAGGGAACAATCTGGTTATTAACATAATCTGAGTTCCCTGAGATAAGGGAATGAGTGTTGCGTAGCATGCCGTGCTATAAGGCTGCACGCGAGTCAATGACTGTGGCCATCAAAGATTCTGACGAAATGCCGCTCAGAGCCGACTTGTATAGCAGATGGCCCCACAGTTTGGCTGAAGTGCCATTTGTTTGTGCAGCTACAAGAACATGAACAAATCAAACTTCAGTATTTAGAGTAAACAGGAGTTTCCCCATAAGCGTACCCTTAAGCCTCATCTCAGGGAACCAAGGTTACGTTAATAACTGGAGCATTATGAGAGAGAGAGAGAGAGAGATTTAACGTGTGAATTACCAGAGTACTGCAGAGTTTCTCAACAAACAACAGCATGTCTACTAATAGTGAATCTGTAAGTTTAACGTCTTCAAAAACAGCGGCGTTATTGAGAAATGTCATGTAGCTTTTTAGTTGCAAAACTATTTTACTGAAAATGTCATGGGTCAGAGCTGACAAGTTTCTGTGCACACATTTGTTCCATGTGTGCTCGCCACAATGTGTCTGTACTGTATGTGTGTGCGTTTGTAGGAGAGAGTGGGAGAAAGAAAGTGTGCTTTTCATAGGTAATAAAAAGTTTATTAGCATTGTATATTTGCGTAGTCAATGTATATTTGGGTTAGCCCAGGGCCCTGCAAAGGGAAGACAGCTCAGAAATGGTCACCATGGCAAAACTGGGCTGCGTTCCAGTCCATTCTTTTATGCCCTTCACTCGCAAACTTCCCTCCATCTTGTTTACTCGGATGTACGTCATTGATTACATCGTTGCATGAGTTGCCCATTACTGGCGGAACCCTTGCAATGGGCTGAATCAGAACATCCTAAGCCCTTGATCACTTAGAATCCGCTATGGAGTTGGTTTATTGTTTACATTTTTCCTCGCACAAATTTGTTTGGTGCAGCATTCTATATGTATATAGATATGCTTGGGCTGTTATAAATGTAAACGCTCCAATTCAGCCCATTCCAAGGGATCCACCAGTAGTGGGCACTCATGCAACGTAATCAATGACATACATCCGAGTAAATGAGACGGAGGGAAGTTAGCAAGTGAAGGGCATAAAAAAAGTGAACTGGAACGCAGCCATAGACTTATGCTGTGTTCACGCCATATCGTAATTACCGTAATTTCGAGATGACAGCACGTGACATTCTACTCTGAGCTGTTCACGTCCTCGGTCTCGGAATTATGCTTTTCTATGGCAACACTATCAACGCCTAAACAGAGCCTGCGGTGGTCAGGTGGTACAGCGGTCACGTGGTACAAGTCGTAGCTCTCAGAAAACTCCCAGTTCACAAGTTGTAATTATGAGTTCTACGAGGACGTGATCGCTTTTTACAAGTTGGAATCTCGTAATTACGGGAATTCCGATATGGCGTGAACGCACCTTTAGCCCTGAGTGAGCGTATGAGTGAACCCTTGGTAATGGGCAACAGGTGTGAGTGTAATTAGTTCCTGGAAAGGGGATCATGGGAAATGGAGTCCAGGAAGGACTAGTCAGTATGGTGATGGATCCCTCTGATGGCAAGCAGGAGGAACAGCAATGATATTAATAACAAAATAAATGGATGAATAAATAAATAACTTTACTTTAAATAAATAAATGAAAAATGATTAGAAAATTACTAAATAAATGTGATTTAAATAAATATATAAATACATAAATGGTATATATAAATAAACAATACATTTAACAGACTGCAATATAGCAATAAAACATATATGTATGCAATAAAACATAAATATATAAATAATGTAATAAAACATCTATGTATTATATATATTCCAAATACAATTTACAGATGTTTATAATATTATTAATTGGGTCTTTAAAGCATAGCTACATTTTAGGATGGGTCTCTTACACAAGGATGATCATATTTGGGGGTCTGTAGCATCTAAATCAGTGTTTCTCAACCCTGGTCCTGGGCGTCCCCCAACACTGCACATTTTGTATGTCTCCCTTATCTTTCTTTTAATGAGTTAATGAGTTGAATCAGGTGTGTTTGATTAGGGAGACACACAAAATGTGCAGTGCTGGGGGGCGCACTAAACTCTGAAGGAAAGTGGCCTGGAAGGGCCAAGTTTGCCCACCCCTGATCTAAATGATCGAAAATCCATGGTTTATTGTATCTACTTGACTGAGAGACCATTAAGTTGTTTATATTATGATATTGATAACAATAATAGAAATCAGACGAGACACAGGGGTTTACATTACAATCTTAAACAATTGTGCATTGTGTAATGTGATTTTTTAAAATAATACTAATACTATCATGGAACCTTATTATGCAATATGCAACCCTGGGGAATAAAAATACATAAAGAAGCAAAAATGCAAAACCAGGTAAATAATAATTACATTTTATGTATATATATTGCAACCATGTCTATTCGGATGCATACTGCTCGACCACAGCTCTCCAACAAACTAGAGGGCGCTAAGGAATAAGCTGGGAAATGGTATACAGAGAATGAGAAAGCGATCTCGGTGTAGTTTTCATTTGCAGAAATAGAAAAACGTAGTATTATTAAATCGTTGGAATTATTGCTACTTAATATTAACCATTAATAATTGTTATCATTGAGGAATTTGCATAAAATTAATTTAATGTTCTTTCTTTCCATTATACACGTTCTGAAATACTGTAGTGTTTTGTAATAATGTACAAGCAAAAAGGCTGAAGCAGCACATTTTTCCTCATTTTTGTTTTATTTGAACCTTTTCTAAATGTTGTTCATTATATATTACATGAACGAAAATGTGTCTTAGTGTTGTTTATGCTATATGTATAACCATAAAGTTGCATTTCTTTATCCGTAACATTGTTTATTTATTTATTTACTTACCTGAAAGGTAAAGGGTACATAAAACAACTTTATCACAAGCTTATAATGACTTCTAATAAAACAACACATTTGTTTGTTATAAGTGAAATCATGCATTATATTACACCACAGGAGACCCTTGAATAGCCAAATACAGTAATTAATAAAGTATTTGTTGTTTTATTTATGTGACTTATTCCTTATTTGTGTGTTTCCTATGGTGGCCGAGAAGTGCAGAGCAAATCACAATTCTGAAAACAAAATAACAAATTACAAACACAAATGCAAGTCTAAAAAACAAAATAACAATTCAGAAAGCACAACAACAAGTCAGAAAACACAAGACAAATTCGAAAACAAAATAAGTCAGAAAACACAAGACAAATCAGACAAACCGGAAGAGGTAGGTATAGTTTGAGACAGCGCCATTGGTTTGGGATTACTCACCGCTGACTGGACGAGACATCTGTCAATCAGCGTATACAGGAAGAACCAGCCGAAGAACAGCAGAGTCGTGGTAGAAAGTTCGGAGATGGTATTAAAGTAGCTCAGTTTAAATGTATTGTATGAATTGCCCTTACTATGGAATAAAACATACGGGGTGTCTATTTAGATTTAGTTAAAAGTGGTTGTAAATCATCAGTTCCAGTGGCGCAGATAGATAAGTGCGTGTCGTTGGCTTTTTGACGCGATCGACCCGGGTTCCATCCCGCCTTTTGCACTTCTCGGCACCGTAGTTTCCTTTTCCACTCGCCGATGTTTTTATTGTTCGCTGAGTATATCTTTTATCGCATGTTCCTTTAAAACAGTAGCGTGTTCAGGACCCCACCGGAAGTAGAGTGAATGATGGCTCGGTGGAATCTGTGACTGGAGTAAAGGTCAGATTCACAGCCAGCGTTTTCATCTGGAGGTCTTTGGCTTGCTCAGTACGTGTTGAGTTTAATGTTACACGCGTTGCTTCAGTAGTTCATTCCGTTCCCAGACACAGTACAGGAGACACAATGCTGCAGAACACAGGGTGAGTTTGTCTCATTCTTGCTGCTTAGCCCGTGTGTTTTGGTGTGAGTACACTTTAATAAACCAAGTTGTTGTTTACTGCTATTAAAATACTTGTTTTATAAGTATGAACTCGTTCATGCGCAATATTAGCTGTGTCTTGAATGACCTACGAGGGCTGGACTGTGTTGTCAAACTTACAAACTGCAATGTATTCAAACTGATTTGGCATTTCAGCACATTATAGAAACATATTTCCCGTTACTATAGTATGTTTATAGTTTTATGTATATTTTTTTTTAACTTTTTTTTAAATTTCACCTTTACCCCGATTTCCTCTGCGCAGGTATCAATTGAAGGAATGCCAACACAAACAATGCGATTAACACAAAGACTGGGACTTTGATGACACATAGTACAAATACAAGGAAATTACCAAACAATTATATTTTAATTAGAGAGAGAGCCACACATGTAAAAGTCAAATGAATGAAAATGAAAATAGGGCCATAAATGTTGTTTTCATAAATATCTGACAATGCTGTCATTCACACAATGATGAAACAACTTAAAAAAAAATAAAAAAAATCTCAGATTAATTTCAGCTGATGCTGTTTTTCAAATAAATGGCAGGTAAAATTGTGGAATTTGATTTTGAAGCAGTTACATGACTTTAGATTTACTAAGAATATGATTATGTCCACAAATATTTCTGCCTCTGAGTAGTTATGTTTTGCCTATCCATCTCTGTTTGTATAGTGCATTGATTACGACAGGATTGGATTATTATATGATTATGCATTAATTTTAGGAAGCTGGCAGGATATACCATCTTCATTACCGGAGCGAGTCGAGGTATTGGCAAGGCCATTGCTCTCAAAGCTGCGCGGGACGGAGCCAATGTGGTCATCGCTGCCAAAACCACTGATCCTCACCCCAAACTGCCGGGCACCATCTACACAGCTGCTGCAGAGAGTGAGCGCAGGACTCGGTTGCTCTTACATACCTTTATAATTGGACACTACAGAGATTCAGTAAAAACCCATTTATTTTCTCCATAGAGAAAATTATTTTTATCTATAGCTCATTAACTTAATAAACACAGTTGAGGTTTGTTTAGTTTTTTTAAAAACTAAATTCCCAGTTTATTTCTACATTACCCATAATCCTGAAGAGAGAGCCACCAGCAGTGAATGCTTTGCTGATGATTCGGTCAAGTTGCCTTCCATAATGTATTTATTAATGCTGTAAATCGATAAAAAAAATTTACTAATTAATTGCACATTTTTTTCAGAAACTAATCACAATTAATCCCACCTAAAATTAAAGTTTTTAAATATACTTTTATATTGCAATAATTTCACATTCAATCTTCAAATTAAAGGTGGGGTAAGTGATTTCTGGTAGCCAATGTTGACATTTGAAATCACCAAAACAAACACGCCCTATACCCCAAAAGGGTCTCGCCCCTATTTTGATAGCTCCGCCCCACACATACGTACACAACCCAGGCAACGATTAGTTCTGTGAAACAAAGCAAAACCAATGTTACACCGGGTCTACACCGGACGCGAGTAGCGCGGCGCGACAAAATACTATAGAATTCATTATAATCAGTGATGCTGTCTACACCAGAGATATATATATATATATATACTGTACATATCTGTGGTCTACACTGGATGCGGCACGACACGACAAATCCCCGACAGATAACTGCTGCTGCGTTCTATTCATGACGTATTGACACAAATTTCAAATGATTTTCAACGGTCGCTCAATGTGTACTAGACAGACTTTAGCTGTTGCGGCGCAGACACTGTGTTACTCACCTATCGAGAAGAAACAAAGCAACCTCGGCGTCCGATCGCAGGCCTTCCGCTCCTTGAGTTCTCTTCAGCGCTGGAAAGCTGATCCGATATTTACACGGGTCTTTCTAAAGCGTTTTTGAAAAATCGCTTACCCCACCTTTAATATAGAAATAACATAAAGACAGTATATTTTTTATATTTGTTTAGTGTCATCATTTTTATGACTAAAGGAGAGTATCACTGATACCAATTCTACTGATGTCTCTAGGAAATTGTTATTTTTTCCCTAATATTTAACCATTCATTAGCCTGTATGTAATGTCGATTATACTAACATTACAGTATAATTGAGAGCTATCATTTTAACGTTTATTAGACTTTAAAAAATAACAACTTCTAATTTAAGTGAACTTAAAACAACATTCACATAAACCCATTGTAATAAATGGCATATTTACCTGTGCCCTTCAGCAAGTAGGAAATATACAGAAATTGAATAAAATGATCAAACACTAAATTCTAAATTAAATATAGATAAATCCTTAAAGCTACAAAAGTTATTGATTTCCTCCTTTTTTTTTCCTTTTGTTTTTTGATTAACAGACATCACAGCAGCTGGGTTGTTAGCTTTTTTGGCTGCTATTACTTTAAGAGCTGCAGCTGCTGAACGTGACGTGGATCTGACACGCATGCTCATAGTTTCATTCACACTTTAATATGAAATGATACAGGCTACAGCGTGCACCACCGTATCTGTGCATGCAATCGAAGAGCAAACCCTAGCTACGCCCCTGCATACATTAAACTGGATAAATTAATTGCCTGCGTTTACATGCTAATTTTGACAGCACTAGTATTTATTGTTGTTTATATAGATATCATTAGAGGCTATAACATTGGCTTGAAAATTGATTGGTATCAGCAGGCCTAAAGTATGCCAAGAAAATATTCCTGACACCATTACGGCCCTCCACCCGTCTGCATTGTTGGCATAAGACCATAGACTTATGATGTTGCTTATATTTCTGACACCATTCCACCACTGCCTGGACTGTTAACAACTGTTAACTACCACAAGGCCATGCATTCATGTTGGTAATTGTGGCTTTAATTAACGGCGATTGGCCTGTTAATACCAACCAATCATTACTTGAATGTCGCAGCCTGTTGCAGTACTGTTGTTGACCATGTGCATCACCTCTTGGACACAAAGTACAGAACCAGTCTTCTAATAGCTACTTCCATCATGATCATGCATCATGTCACAAAGCAAAGGTCATCTCAAACAGTTTTTGTGAAAAGCAGTTAACCCAGTTCCAATAAAACACTTTTCACAGCATGTGAAAATATGCAGAACCTACAGTACATTTTAGAAAGAATGCTCACCAAGTCTGCATTTACTGATTAATATACAGTAAAAACAGTAACTTTTGTATTTTAAAGGAATAGTTCACGCAGAAATTAAAATTTGGCTCAGGACATCCAAGATGTAGATGAGTTTGTTTCTTCATCAGAATGGATTTGGAGAAATGTAGCATTACATCTCTTGCTCACCAATGGATCCTCTGCAGTGAATGGGTGCCGTCAGAATGAGAGTCCAAACAGCTGATAAAAACATCACAATAATCCACAAGTAATCCACTCTCCAGTCCAGTCCATCTATTAACATCTTGTGAAGTAAAGAAACTGCTTGTTTGTAAGAAACAAATCCACCATTGCTTCCAACCACAATACAAGTCCTCTATTCATAACATTGCTTCCTCCAGTGAAAAAGTAATCTAATCTGAATCAGGAGAGAAATCTGCACAGATCAAGTACTGTTTACAAGTGAAAGCAGTTCAAAACAAATGTCGGTGGATTTTGATGTGAGAGACAATAGGGGATGTTTTTATCCGCTGTTTGGGCTCATTTTGACGGCACCCATTCACTGCAGAGGATCCATTGGTGAGCAAGAGATGTAATGCTAAATATTTGATAAATAGTTTCATGTGATAAGACTATGACCAATTAACGTCTGTTTGATAGTTGAAGCTGCTGGAGGCAAAGCACTGCCGTGCATCGTAGACGTCCGTGATGAGAAGCAGATCAATGATGCTGTTGGAAAAGCTGTGGAGAAATTTGGAGGTGAGTTACAGTATTTCATATATCTCACAATTTGAGCACTCAGGTGTGTTTTAATTAGTCTTTAATCTTGTGTGGTTCTGTTGACAGGGATTGACATATTGGTCAACAATGCCAGTGCCATCAATTTAACAGGAACTCTGGAAACTCCAATGAAGAAAGTCGACCTTATGCTAGGCATCAATCTCAGGGGAACGTACCTGACGTGAGTAGAAGTTATTCTTTAGAGTAACAGATCACAATAAATGTCAGAAATATTTTCTGTGTTAGTCGACAGTTTGTCACAGATATTGTCAGCTTAACTTGTTTTGAATCCGCAATATTCTTCTGACTGTGGCCACTGATTTATTACAGGTCTAAACTGTGCATTCCACATCTTCTGAAGAGCAAGAACCCTCACATACTTAACCTCAGCCCACCTCTAAACCTCAATCCCATCTGGTTCAAAAACCACACAGGTGAGCGCAAGAGCGTTCTTACATTCAGTGCTCTAGGCCTTTGGTTTTAGTCTCTCACTGAACATTTATTCAGTAATAGTGACAAATAATGACACTGATCTCGTTTTCTGCTGTGTCTGTGTAGCGTACACCATGGCAAAGTATGGCATGTCCATGTGTGTACTTGGAATGGCCGAAGAGTTCAAGGGATCTATCGCTGTTAATGCCTTATGGCCCAAGACAGGTAATGGCTTTCCTGCATCAGTCATTAAATAATTCAATTTAGAGATCATTGATGCATAAGTAGATATTGCTGAGTCTGTATTCTATAATATATATATCTACTAAAATCCTACAAAGCAACATCTTAGTTGAATATTAAAGTGATAGTTCACCCAAAAAATGAAAATTCTGTCATCAGTTACTCATCCTCATGTCATTCCAAACCCATTAAACTTTCATTCATCTTTGAGACAGTACTGAAGATATTTTTTAATGAATCCTTGGGGGTTTCTATCCTTATCATTATTTAAATCATTATAATCACTCTTTCTGAGGTCTTTGATACGTCTTCTTCCTCTATGATATTGCCTAACTATCACTCCACCATTGCAGAAATCTTGTAAGAGCATGCTCCTATTAAGACCAGAACAGTCCCTTAGCTTTTCTTGAACATCTGAAAAAATACAAATCTGCTCTGAACTCAGCTTGTTCTGTTTTTGTCACTGCCACGATCAACAAAACAGGCAAAAGGCCAAAAGCTTTATTTAATTCAATTAACAAGCTGACCAAACCTCCATGTCATAACGTTCTATCTTCAGATGAGCTTTGCTGTTCCTTTTTTAATTATATTTTTAGAAAAGACAGGTGCCGTCCACCAAAGTTTTTCTGGTGAGGCTATGAAGTTTAGTTTTAAAATTAATCTCTCTGGCCAGTCTCTGTTTTGCTTCTCTCTGACTAATCCGTCTTCTGTTTCTGAGTTAATCTTGAAATCCAATTCTTCATCCTGCTGACTTGATCCTGCTCTTACTTCTGTTCTGAAACTCTGCCATTCTGTCATCTCTGCACCTATTTCTCACTTCATAAATACATCTCTTGTCTCTGCTTATTTCCCTCTGCCACTTAAAACAGCCGCAGTTACCCCTGTCCTCAAGAAACCCAACCTTAACCCCTCAGTTTTATCCAATTCAATTTCAAATTTACCTTTCATTGCTAAATGTTTTGAAAGTACTGTTGCCTCCAAGCTTCAGTCTTTCCTAGTTGCAAAAAATCCTGTTGATCCTTATCAATCTGGTTTTTGCACATTTAAAGGTAGTGAATGACCTACTGCTTTCTTGCAACTCTAGTTCTCTCTCTGTACTTCTCCTACTTGACCTTAGCTTAGGACAGTCTCCCATGATTTACTTATTTTCCACCTTTTGGATATGGATATTGCTGGTGTTGCTTTCTTTTGGTCTCTCTGATAGACAGTTTTATATTTCTGTGCAGGATTCTCATTCGCCCACTGTATCACTGAAGCAAGGTATCCCCCAGGGATCAGTTCTCGGTCCACTATTATTCATAATTTACATTCTACCTCGGGGTCAGATTTTACATCGCATGGTTTTATCTATCATGTCTATGCCAATGACATCCAAATATACACTACCTGTAGGCCTACTCTATCCATTCAAATTGACAAAATAATTGATCAAAAAAAAATTATTACTTATTAGCTTCTGAGCTAAATCCACTTTGTTTCAGCAATGATGATTTGTGTCTTTATAGAGATTGGTGTAAATTTCCTGAATCTCAAACAGTAGTGCATGTCGCCAGCAACACCAAGGTCATGGGTTCTCAGGGAAAGCAGAGCTGATAAAATGTAAACATATACCTTGAATGCAGTGTTGCTTCGAATAAAAGCATCTGCCGAATGCATGAATGTGAACGAGTGTATTTGTGGCGCTGTATGCAAATGAACAACAGGAAGCTGAAAGGATGTTCTTCTGTTAAGTCTCTCATTAAAATGGTGCACACGTACCATTGTTTCAAATTTGTATGCTAAATCTTTTATTGATATTCAAAGCTTTATAACAGCATGTATTGTGAAACATGCTGAAAATGAGGTGGAATTGAATATGAATCAAAAACAACAATGATAATTGAATTAGTCTTCATATTCATCTACCTTCAGCCATCCAGACGGCGGCCATGGACATGTTGGGTGGTTCTGGGATTGATAAACAGTGCAGGAAGGTGGAGATTGTGGCTGATGCAGCCTACGCTATCTTTAAACAACCCACCAGCTTCACAGGACAGTTTGTCATTGATGAGGACGTTCTCAAAAAGGAGGGCATTAAGGACTTTGATGTGTATGCTGTTGAGCCAGGTTGGTTATGCAATATTAATATTGCATGTTAAAGTGGTAAAGTAATACATTTTCCTATTCAATCAGTAATTTGGTTTGAATAAAAGTTATTTCACAGTATTTTTAGACCCTGTTTAGTGTTTACAATAACGTGACATTTCTGATATATTACAGAAAACTGTGAATGTCAACATGGTACATAAAACATCTTCATTTCTTTTTAGGTCATCCATTGCTTCCTGACTTTTTCTTGGATCAACAGCCAGAGAATCTAGCCAGGCAGATGGAGGAGCATGGTGAGTTATGAGGCATAACAGCATATTTCATCTGTTTTTGTTCTGCATTGACTTCCAAGCGAACTTCAGCAGACGTCTCAGTTAGTGTCGATATTTTAACTCTCTCTTCAGGTGCCACTCCAGTTTACAAAAGTGGAAAAACCAGTGCAGATTCTGCCGCCACGGGACCGGTTTCTGACATGTTCAACATAATCAGAGGAATTCTCAGTCCAGATATAGTAAAAACCACACAAGGAGTGTACAGATTCGATTTATCAGGTACTTATGATATATTTAAAACATTTGAGTTAAAGTTTTATGGCTTTCAGTCAATGTCTGCTAGCTGAACCACTCTTCAAAATGTATTTTTTTGTTCCACTGAATAATAAACAATAGGGTATGGAAGCCCGTTTCTGCCACATAAGAAAAATAAAAAACATGCTTTGGTAAATCATAATTACGACAAATTTGAATTATGCCACAAAAAAGTCATATGAGGTCATATTATGAAGTAAATTTTGAGATTATCACAAGCTTATTATGATTTTTAATCTCATGATTATGACAAAAAGTCCAAATTATGAGATTTTTATATTGCGTTGAAAAAAATCGAAATTAACATGCTAAGTCATGACTTGTCAATTTCAATTTTCTACCTCATAAATATGATTTGTCATAATTTCACATTTTTTACCATAGTTATTACTTATCTCATTATTATGACTTGGTGTGTCATAATGTTGTAATACTTTCAACTTTTAATTGTATAAATATGAATATAAATATAAATGAGTGTCATACTTTTGACTTTTTATGTCATAATTATGTTCTTATTTAAGATTGACTTAATAGGGATATGTAACCGCACATATACAGTATATTACAATTTATAATATTTAATTTCTGGGAAAATGGACTGAAAATATTGAAAACATCATCTTGGACTCACAGGTATGTCTCAGATTTGTCCAATGAAATGTTTTATAGAATAATTATGTCCCACCCCCAAATATCACCTACCTCATATATCAATATCAAATCATGATTCGTGGCTTTTACCGTCCTGCAGACTTCTGTTTCAACCCTGCTCCACCACACCTGCGTGTAATTATCAGGTAACCCTGAACACCTGGATTAGCTGGTTCAGGCGTGTTTGATTGGGTTTGAAGCTGAAATCTGCAGGACGGTAGCTCTCCAGGAGCAGGGTTGGAGAACCCTTTCTGAAAAAGCTGCATATGTCCCACCCATCAAATCTGTGTTTATTAATGTTTGCTGGCTTGATTGACAGGTGATCATGCTGGAGTCTGGTACATTGATCTGAAGAACGATGCAGGAAGTGCTGGCAGTGGGGAGCCACCTGTCAAAGCTGATGTTGTCATGACGTTGGACAGTTCAGATTTCATCAAGATGTTCGGAGGTAGAAAAAGTGTCGCTGATGCACTTTTACACACTACTGACATAATCATATGGGGTGAATAATAAAAACCTGAAGTACTGATGAAAACTATGTTCTTTATCAATAGGGAAATTAAAGCCCACTATGGCGTTCATGTCTGGAAAGCTGAAGATTAAGGGTGACATGAGCCTTGCCATCAAACTGGAGAAGATGATGGGCATGATGAAGTCTAAGCTGTGATATGATCACTCACTCTACCGTCTCCTGCCTTACATGATGTACATGATCTCTTTTCTAAATCATTGTTTGCATTAAACCCTTTGCTCATAATTTGTTCCGCTGATACTAATTTTAATAAAGGATTTTCCTTTATGCTTTCTTCACTGCATGTTCTTTAATAGTATAGTATTGCAACATCATTCTGGAAAGTCTCCTTTAAAAAATGTTCACCATAATGACTATAATTACTGTATCATGATTAACCATTTAACCAAATTAATATAGGAGCTCATTCAAACAGCATAAGCAGCTTTCACAATCTTCTTGTCATTTGTTTTTTTTGTGATATGTTTTGCTATAATAATTGTAGAATTCTTTAAGTGATGGAGGCCTTAACTCCTAAAACTTGACGCTTATATATTTCGTTTTTTTCCTTCTTGAAAATTATTTTAGAAAGCCACTGGTTAGAAAAAAACATCATTTTTAAAGTACATATTCATGAACTTTCTTGGCTTTGATTTTCTGCTTCAGTAAGAAGCTAAAATTTGTCAGAACAATCATTTGATGCTCTAAAATGGTATGATCCTATATAATAAAATGCATTTTTGCTTGACTTTTGCTAACAAAAACATACTTTTTGCAAAGTATTTTAACACGTGCATTTCTATAGTCTTTGGACACAGACATTAGGTTAACATTCCGATATAAAGGTGCTTTTCGCCACGAGTGTAGCCTATAATTGTAAATACAAACGCATGTTTTGACGGAAATATTCCGTTCTGTCATGCATGGTTGTGTAATAAATTAAATATGAATTTCATACATGCACACAGCCATATCATATATCTCGGACACGTACTTCCGGTGATAGAGGAAGTACCCGCTGCACGTCCATTAAAAGCAGAATTCATGGCTTTTGTATAAAATACTGGCAAATATAGAAGAACCGCGGACAAATTAGGAGTTTGCATTGACAAATGATGCTTGATATCGAACAGAGAGGCAGCGAGCACCGTGCGTGAGCGGACATTGGAGTTGATTCTCCCGTATGAAGGTACATGATGCTTTTTTGGGGCTCTTTGTTGATGTAGATCATCAGACTCACAGCTCTGTGTCAAAACTGATGCAGCTGTCAGCAGAGACGACAGTTTGTAACGTCCGCGTTATAAACGCGACTGTGAAGAGCAGAGTCGCGGTGTATGTCGGCGGCTCGCTCGGGTTTCAGACAGAGTCGTGTTGTTTGGAAGATAAACACAGACATCAGCGCTTTATGTGTCATATAACTGATGAGAACAGGACCAATGCAGTAAAACAATGGCTGTGGGCGGTGATCTTGTGCAGTTGATGATAGGGGTGTGTCTTCAGCTTATTCCACTAATAAAAAAGTAATAATAAAAGTACTTTGGAAATTCCATGTATTGTTGTTTTTTGAACTTGTGTTAAAAAATACCATGATATTTTCGGAAGTACTTTAGAATACAGTGTAAATATTGTGGTAAATTAATATGCTAATTATTCATTATTGGTTGTATATCAACATACCATCACTATACCAGAATGTGTTGTAAAAGACTAGACGATCACACTGATACAAGTATTTTAATCTATGATGTTGATATTCATAAGAGTTAACCTTTGCTTTTTTTACTTAAAAAGATAGTGTTTTTGAATAATATTATTAGCCTAACAATTCAAGATTAAAGTAAAATTTGACTTGAAAATTTTACAAAAAAATCTTGATTTAATGTCGACATAAAATGGAAATTCACCCAGTCTATTTTCTAAATGCATCTTGATGCTGTTGTGCTGTTTTTTTTGAAAGGGGTCATATGACGTTGAGGAGCGATGAGACAAAAACATGAAAACCCATTATAAACGAGGCATTTGTTGCATCCAGTTGGGACATAATTACTAGGGCTGCACGATTAATCGAATGCGATTGTCATGCGCATTTTGTTAGTAAAGCCGGTTCTGTAATCAGCTGGAAATCATCATGTGCTTTCA